TCCAGTCACATTCAGTTACATCCAGTCACATCCAGTTACATTAATTCACATCCAGTTACATTAATTCACATCCAGTTACATCCAGTTACATCCAGTCACATCCAGTTACATCCAGTTACATCCAGTTACATTCAGTGTGGATCCAGCAGGGGGCGCTGCTGCCAGCTTTTATCTTTTGGGGTGTCAGAAAGTATGACTTGGCAAAGTGAAAGAATTACAGACATTACCTGCAATTTTCACTTTTGTATTATATATATATATATATATATATATATTCACATTTATATATTCACATTATCACTTATTTTAATCCTTTTTGTAAACACTAGACATATTTCAATTAAATGGAAGTACATGGCATTGTTAACTCTTGAATTAATTATGCCACTATCCATCAAATGTAATAATAAACTAACCTGGAGAGCTCTCCACATGAACCACAAAGTATTGTTTGGGGGAACCGCCCTCCCCCAAACTGGGCCCCCCGGGCTGGAGTCCAGGGGGGCGGGCTGTGCTGGAGCTCCCGGCTCTCGGGGCCCCCCCCCTGGTCTGACGGCAGCTGGTCCAGGCCCTCGGCCACAGAGGAGCAGCGCCTCGAGGGGGGGGCTGGCCGGGCTCCATGCTGTGCAGCTTGGACAGACACCAGCTCTTCAGCTCATGGACCAGAGACGCCTGCTTGACACACACACACACACACACACACACACACACACACACACACACACACACACACACACACACACACACACACACACACACACACACACACACACACCACAGCTGGGAACATGGAACTTTAACACGGCACATCTGTTGTACAACAAAAGTTTTTTTAAAGTAAAATAAATAAGGGATTTCTTCAGTCGTGCCACAGTAGGCTGCAGGTCTGCTCAATGAAAAAACTGAACCGTTGATTTGAATTAAATGTATTATGTCAACAGATTTCACACAACTGTATTAGGTTAGTTGAAAGCAATAATATCACGTTTTAAAAAAAAATAGTAGGTTCAACTTAATATTATTGCTTTCAATTAACCTAATACAGTTATGTGAAATGTGAAACTCTTACTACTTTAAATCCAGGCTGAAGTCTTTTCTTTTTGCCCTTGCTCTTAAGTATTGAGTATTCTCAGTTATGCTATTTGGGCTATTGTTGATACAAAGTGAGTTATAGAGGGACACAGTATACAGAGAGACATCTTTGAGGGATTATACAATATTATGACACCAAGATTACAGGGCTCCCCTTGAAAATGAAAAATACATTTTACACTAACATGCTTCTGTATTTGCATCTATCTATATTCTTCGAATCAGCACATGTGCTGTGAAGAGGGTTCTGGTTCAGAGCCTGGTTGTTACCTGTCTGTTCTCAGCCTCCAGCCTCTCCTGCAGGGCCCGCTGCTCCATCCTCTGCACACACTCCGTCCTCTCCGCACACACCCTCTCCACTGTCATCTTGTCGAGAGCTCTCATCTGAGGGCCGAAGCAGTGAAACACATTATGAGTGACCAGAGACGTGACCGCTGCAGTTCATTACCTGTTTCTATTGTGAAATCAACGATTCAGATGGTAGTTTCCTGATTCTGATCTGAAATGTTTTCTCTCCCAGGTGTATGACATAAAGACAGTGGTGGAAGAAAAAGTTATGTCACAATGTCAGATGAAAAAAAAAAAGTTTATGGACACAGGAGAGAAAACTATTTAGAACAGACTTTAGACAATGGAGCATCGGAATGTCTTTTTCTCAGTTTCCTCGTAGGGCTTCTGCACAATGGGGTTCTTTCAAGTCTTTGTCAAAGGGCCCGCTGAACAACAATACATTACTACAGTACAGAAAATGCTGTTGCTCTTAATAACATTAAGAGTGTAACACAGAAACTCTACAGGAGATGCCTTTGAGATGAACACTGCTGTGTTCTCAGATGCTATGATCACCGAAGAGTGAGGATTATGGAAGTGTGTAGTGATCAGCAGAAGTCAGAGGCTACAGGATAACAATCCTCTGATGTCATAGATCCTCGCTCCTCTCTTGACCAGGGGAGCATTCTGGTAGCCATCGTATCAGATGTTTTAATGCTCTGAGGAGGATACACATTACACTTTTATCCAACATACCATAAGTGCAAAAACCATAGAGATTCAAACTCTGCACAACAAGGAAAGTGCAGATATATTCACTTAAAGCAAGTCATACCGTTGTATGGTGAGTTACCTTCAAGGCCTAAATTAACTTCTTAAAATGCCTTTTCTTTTATATAATTGATTTTCTCTTGCTTTGCTTGTATACTTAAACCAAAACAACTACAAATAATGATTTAAGGTTTCTGCTGTGTCGGCATGTGTGTGTTAGCCTGTGTGTGTTAGCCTGTGTGTGCTACCTGGTGTTTGTTCTTGCGGTCTAGCTGGCCCATCTTGCTGTTCATCAGGTCCTGCACAGTGTGGATCTCATTCTTCATCTCCTCCTTCGTGGCCTCCATCTGGTTCTCCAGTTTACTGATGAGAGGCTCACAGCGGCAGCCATTCAGAGGAGCCTGCACACACACAGCAAAAATCAACACAAAACACACAGAGCACACACCCAAAACATGTCCAACAAACTCCAGCTGTGGACAGGCTCAAATTCCAGATAGACTTGTATTGATAGTCTACTTGCCAGCACTGTGAACCAAGAAATGTTGAGTACTCCAAAGTGTTATGTTAGAAATGTATAGTATGGGTCCCTCCCAAGCACATAGAAGCTGCCGGATGCTTACTTGCATATGTTAGGCAATTTGCAAAATTAGCATAAGTTGCATTCATTAGCATCACACAATAATGCATCAATAATTGTAATTATGAAATTGGCCAATCTGCATGATGAGTACTTATTTTGTACTTTGACTTGAGTGACCTTCTGATTGCTGGACTTGTAACAGAGTACTCCTACATGCTCTGGGACACCAGAGTTAAGAAAGCTGCAAGCTTCTGCTCAGTCACACAGGGGGGTCAAACTCAACTTCATGGCGGGCCACATCAGCATTATGGTTGCACTCAATGGGCCGGTTGTAACTTTCAATCTCAATCTTTATTTCTTTATATAGCCCATTTAAAACAACCTCAGTTGACCAAAGTGCTGTACAGGGAACCAATGTAAAATAACACAATAGGAGTCAAATAATAAAACAATAATTAAAAACAAGATAACTAGAAACATATGAAAAAAAACACATACAGATATCAAAATGTTATGTTCAACTACTGTAGTATTAAAAGCCAATGCAAAACTTTAAGACTATATGTAAAATACATATTATATAATATATATAAAATAATGTATTATATTAGATTATTGCCTTTGCATTGGATTATTATGGGATAGGGTAAAACTTCCTCATTAACTGTCTGAAAGCAGAAGTCTAGGGCAAATAATTGCAAGTCTCTTCAGTGCGCATGTCACAAAATGAGATGCATTGTGGGACATGTAGTTTATGGACAATGTGCTTCTGTAAAGCGAAATTCAACCGTATAATAAACGTTTTATATTCTTTTCAAGCTCTTGCGGGCCACATCAAATGAAGTCCGGCCCGCGGGCCTCGAGTTTGACACACCTGGTCTATCTTCAGTGCCAATACTCCCCCAACATGAGGTGAAGCTACAGTTTGAACAATGGTCCTGGCTCTGACTGAACAGCTTCTGCTCTCACCTGCATGATCTTGCCGTCCTTGCCGCGGTACAGTGTGTACAGCTGATAGGCTTTGTAGTTATGTGGAGGGATGGACCCATGCAGGGGGGCTCCTCGCTGTTTGCATTTCCTCTTGGTGAGAGCTTCGCCGGGCTTGGTCTCTTTGCGGCGGAGGGGCTCGGACAAAGATGGCTGAAACACCACAGGCACCTGAGGTTAGTCACTTTGAAGATTCAAAGGTGTTATTGTCATATGCACAGTAGCTACAGTGTAGATATGGCAGTAACATCCCAAGCTCCTCCAACCATGCAACATAATTCAACCATTGTTCTGGAAGGAGGAAGGACATTCATCGTCTTCTATTATCCAGGACTTTGATTAGAAACATCAGTGTGAATGGGAGAGTGTTTTACATTCAGGGACATACCTTGTCTTTCTGCTTCCTGCTCTTCCTCCCCCTGGTGTTGGACTCGGTGAGTTTGCAGACCGCTCTTCGCTCACTGCTCTGGGAGTCATCTGCAGGAGACACACTGTCCTGCAGGGAACAAGGGGACAATAAAGGCGAGACAAAATGTCAAGCAAGAGCAGGAACGAAAGCAACCCTTTAGGTTTCTTATCAAATATGCACGGTTAGTGTGACATTCTAAATGTTTCCACCATTCAAATAATCTAAAATCATGAATACTTTTTTGAAACATGACTACTTACTCTTTGAATGTGTTTAACTACAGACCCATAACAAACTGTAGGCAGCCTCACCCAAGTTTAAACCCTTGACGTAAATCTGCTTCCATAAAGCCACAGATAACATGGGAATGTCTGTGAGTAAATGACATATAGTCAGACAGGGTGGAATGAGATCAAAAGTGCTGTCACTCTTATGCCACTTTGAAGGGTTTTAGGATACTTCTTTGACTTTTTAACTTATTTCAGCTATGTAACCCTCCTGTTCACTCAGATCTGACTGATTTACTACTTTCATCATAAATATTGAGTTTTACACCTGATTGCTGCAAGGCCTTATTACTCCAACAGTATGGTATGACCTCCATATGAAATGAATGGGTACGCCTAGATGATGTCCATCCATCAGAAAGTAAACGCCATCAAATCAACAACATTTTGGAATACATTTTGAGTGTCTATTCTTTGTATATTCACTGCAGTTATTCATGGGAAGCAGTATTCTGAGAAATTGTTTACAGCGTAGAAGGGTGTTGAATACAATGTGGTGACGTGCTGACGACAGCAGGGTGAACTGACACAGTGCAGCAGTGCTCACCTTGCAGGGCAGCATCTGGTCTCTGGGCACAGACTGCGCTCGGCCCTCCTCCTTCAGCTTGTCTCTCCTCTTCCTCACACTACGGCCACGCACAAAACTCTGCACCTGAACACACACACACGAGGAAAAATGATTGGGATCATCTTGCTTGCTTGTTAATTAAGTAAGGATGCAAATTAATACTGTCTTGTATATACAAGACAGTACATGAATAAAGAGACTTTTAAGCTAACGGTATATCACATTTAAAAGGCCATCAGTATGAAGTGAAATGTATCTTTAAGTATGAGTTTAGTTTCCATCGATTTCACTATGAACTGAAAGAATAGCACGAGTTGAACTCATTTGGATTTCTTCAAGTTAAAGTGGACAGATGAAGAAATTACCTTTGGAGCTTTGGTCAGCAGAAGAGCCACCTCTGGGTTGTTGTGTTCTCTGGCCTGCTCCAAAGCTGTGTGTCCTGCCTACACACACACACACACACACACACACACACACACACACACACACACACACACACACACACACACACACACACACACACACACACACACACACACACACACACACAGACAGAAAGACAGACACACACACACTCTCAAACACAAACACACACACTTTCAAACACAAACACACACAGACACACACACACTCACACACACACACACACACACACACACACACACACACACACACA